GGCAGGCCTCCCAGCCCCCAGCAAGTCTTCACTCTGGGCTCTCCGGCCTTCTCTGGTGGTCTCTGCTTCTCTTTCAGTCTCTCTTTTTGCTCTCGTTCTCTCTGCTTCTCTCGTGGTTCTGCTGGCGTCCCCATGACTCCGCCCTTATAAGCTCAGTCTCTCAGCCCAGGTGTACCCACTTACGCATGCCCACACCCCACTCCAGGTGCCCGCCATCAGGCATGCATTCAGGACCGCAGGGATCCATCATCCATCCTAATGGCGGGAGGGCAGAAAAGCCTGACACTTTTTCACTTACCCTACATCCTTTGACAGATAAATCAGGGACTTAATGAAGGCATTAGTCAGGGAGAAAGGGATCAGTGTTAGCATCCTCACCACCACCATCGCCACCCACAGTACTGCCACCAACATACACTGCCACCGTTGCCACTACCACTTCCACCACCCTCCCCCAAGCGTAAACACCACCCTCATCTCATCCTCACCATCCCTGCCACTCACACGTCAACACCCTTTCCACCACCATCACTGAGCGGGGCCAGACTGGCTTCCACCAGGGAGCAAAGGGGACTCCCTGCAGCTGGCACTGAATTTAGAAACCCAGCCAGAGCGGGGAAGCCACCTGCCTGACGTCACACAGCTAGAGTCAGTCCATGTCACGTGACCCACAGAAGGTCATGCAGGAAGGGAGAGCTCAGGTCCCCCACTTTGAACCCAACAGCCACCCACTGGGTCTCTGTGCCGTGGCAGGGCCTGTGGCTCTTGGATGGCCCCAGCCACGGGCAGCACCAGGAAACTACCCTCTGGGAGCTTGTCCTGGGCCTCAACCTTCAAGCTTCCATTTCAGGAGCCCCTGAACCCCTCCTCAACGCGGGGGGCAGAGGCAGAGGCTGAGCTGCATCTGCCTGGGCGCTTCAAAGCTTTCTGACACTTGTTAAAATCCTCCCGCTTCTGTGCAGGGGTTCTGCTTCCCATTAGCACCCCGGGCCCCGCGGGGGTCGGACCAAGGGCCTGGGCTCCATCCAGAAGTGTCGGACTCCGCTGGGGCTCCCCGACCACTTATCTAACATGGAACATCGAATGGTTTGATCTGCCAATTAGGCTCACCCGGAGCTGCTAACTGGAAGCAGATGGGCCTGCGCCTACTGCAGGGAAAGCCCCGCGTGTCCCCCTCCCTGCAGACGGGAGGCAGACCCTGGCCTTCCAGGCCCGCCCGGGATACCCCCCAGGTAGCCGCAGGTCTGGGGGCCTCTTCGGGGCCCTCAGGTAGGAGATTTGAGGTTCGGGGAGAGTCGGTCTCATCTTCATCCCAGAGAGTCGGAGGCAACTTTGCTGCTTCTGGTTACGGAGTCCACGCAGGTGGGAATCGACCCAAGTGGCCCCCAATTTCTGGAAGATCTACAGACTTCTGCCACCTCCTCCCTCTCATGCTCCTGGGAGGGCTTCACCAAGCAGGCTGGGCCCAGGCCTGCACAGAGGCAAGAGGGGGCGGGGTGAGTGACTGCCGGGTCCCTTCTGACTCTGGGGTGGCCAAACCCACCCGCTCCAGGCGCAGCTCAAGGAAGGTCTTGGCAGTTTCTCCCCTGCGGTGAGCCGTGGGTGCCGGAGCCCAGCACGGGGACGCCGGGGTTGAAAAGCAGAACTTGGCCTTTGGAACATGCCCAGCTTACCAGAAGGCCCCAGTCGGGTCGGCCTCCGAGGAGCCAAGCTGGGAGAGGGCTCTTTAAATACAAACCAGACCCCTTGGAGGCCCCCCAGCACCCACACTCCAAAGCCAGCCTCCCCAGGGAGCGGCTCCCAGGCCACTCCTGCCCTGCACAGGCCGGCCCAGCCCTGGCCACGCCCCTCGGCGGGCCCCTCACTCGTGTCCTGTCCTCCCCGTGGTGCACCGTAAGTGTGGACAACCCGGATTCCAAGCCACCATCTCCCTGCACCCCACGCCTGCGTGTCATTCCCTCACGGAGCCTCAGTCCCCCGCTCTGTTTAACAAGGGTAATGGCAAGGAGACTTGATTTCCTGTCTGCTCCTGGCACCGAGTGGACGCTCAGCAGCTGATGACCAAGTCAGCTGCCTCCGTCTGGATCCAGCATCGCCATCTTGGAGCCATATCCCTTGGGCCAACCCTGAGCCAATCGCTGTGGCCCAAGAAGGGGTGTCTGTGGACTGACTTGGCCGGGGCCCCTGCCGGCCCCGGAGCAGGACCAGAGTGAACTCTCCTAGAACCACCTGGATCTCTCTTGGGGAATGGGAGGAGAGGGTGCAGGAGGCATCAGCTCGTGGCCACCGGGCACTGGTACCCACGGGGCAGGGTCATCGGGAATCAGAGGTAACACGGTGAGGCTCCTGGCGCCGCGGGTGCTCCTTCAAAGGCAATTATTCGGGAAAGAAATGGGATTTATTTTGTGGTCCCAAAGGATCTAAACTAACACTCATAAATAAAAATGCCAGAGTTGGGTTTTGATTCGATCTAAAAGGATTTTCTAACCACTAGAGCCGTCCCCCGTGAGCCTGAGGAAGCCCGGGCCAGGCCGGGCGGGGTCTCTGCCAAGGCTCTGGGCTCCCCCGGTGGAGGGACAGAGAGGAGACCCTCACACCTGACATCTGGGCTCGGAGTCTCCCCCCAGCAGCCCCCAGCCCGGTGGGAGGAGATCTAAGCCCACCTGGAGGCTGGGCACAGAGGCAAGGGGCCCCCCAGGGACAGACGGCCCCGGGAGAGCCCCGAGAGGGCGGACCAGCCTGTGCACAGACGCTGGCTGTGGCCACCCAGGAAGTCCCAATCTAGGGGCCCCACATCCAGCCCCACTGTCCTTCCATGCTCAGTTCTCACAGCCAGGGTGTCCCAGCCTCATGCTCCTGCCTGAACCCCCCTTGGGCGGTCTTGCAACCCCCTCCTTGCTCCTGTTGCCCCATCTGCTGCTCCCCCCCCCCACTCAACCCAGCTGCCTCCAAACACTCCATGTGTGTCTTCAAGGCTCTTTCCAATTGCCCAATTCCCCCTGAGTCTCCCCTGGCCACCTATCCACCAGCCAGCCCCCTAAAATCCGTAGCCCCCCCAGAACACCACGTGCCCAGTGTGGGAGACTGAGTCCTCCCCTCCGTGAATACACCACCCCCAGCCCGGTGTTCCAGGCAGGGCGGGCAGTGGGCCAGAGCTCCAGGTGAGTCCACACGGGGCTGGGGAAGTTCATGGCTTTGGGGGGCCCCTTTTATTCTCCACCTATAAAATTAGGATCCTGACTAGGAGTGAGGACACGTGGGTAGGGGGCCCTGGAGATGGCTGCTCGCTGCTGTCCTCCACTGTGAGCACAACTCTGTGTTTTGTGTTTGTGAACCGCTCAGGGTCACACTTGGGAGAGAGGACCCGAGCTGAGCCGGGAGTGCTGTGGCCTGAGGACTCGGGTGGAGGAGAAGGTGAAGGAAGCGATCCCATCAATACTCCGGGAAGAGACTCGGGGAGAGAAAGGGACCATGCCTGCCAGTACGGAAACATGGTCCCCAAATATGAAGCAGTTCCCCCAAATCCCAGATGATTCCAGCCAACATCCTGCCACCCAGCACCTTGCAGCAAAAAGGAGACAGTCCTGCCCTCAGCTGCAAACACGCGAATACGCGTGGGGAGGGCGCCTGCCAGGTGCTGAGCCAATGCTGAGTCACTCCCGGAAGTTCCGAGTGGGTCATGTGGCCACAGCAGGGCGGGCTTGCAGGGTGCCCTGAGGCTCTGAGCCGATCTACCACCTGCCAGCTGGGTGCACCTGACCGCACCTGAGCCTGTCACTCAGCAGGTGACTGAGTGCCTCCCAGAAGCCTCCACAGAAGGTCTGGCCCCCTGGTGAGCAATGAGAGGCAGCGTGACCCCCAGACAGGGCAGTCGGCACTGTCCTGCCGCTGGAGCCTGCCACTGGGGCAGCTGGCACGGGCAGCAGCGCTGAGCTGGCACAGACCAGAGCAGACATGAGCCCTGGGTACCCTCAAGACAACACCCAGACTTTGCTGGAATGTGACTAACTTCCAACAGAAGCTGGTCCTGTGGACATACCACAGGACATACCACAGACATTGGGTGTAAAAAGGAAACACCCCCTCTCTTGGTCCCGGCAGTTCCGGGGGCGTGTGGGTTTGCAGTGGTTGGTATTTACTCTGCGCACCTACTAGCCACACTTTCCACGCGTTATCTCTGATCTTGCAACGCCCGTGTGAGGCAGCGATTTTTCCCCATTTAGAGATGGGGACAGGTAGGCTCAGGGACAGTGAGTTGCTGCCCAAGGTATGTGGTTTGGAGATGGCAGTGCCAGGATCCAAACTGAGGTGGTATCAGATTCCACAGGGTTTTTGTCAGAACTTAGGACAGGAACTCCTGGGTTCACCCAAGTGCGGTGTACTCGACAGCGTTTGTGTAGCGCCCTCTGCACCTGTTACTCAGAGGTCACAAAGAAGCCTGGGACCAAGCTCTGAGGGATCTGGGAGGGGGATGCAGTGAATATGTGGGGCTGCATTACTTGAGCTCAAATCCTGCCACACCAGCCCAGGCCAGCCAGCCCACCAGGACCGTGAGGGAAGGGAATGAGCCCCACCCACACCCACTGAGGTACCCACCGTGACCACCAGATGGCGGCAGTGGGCTGCGAGAGCAAACGCCTTAGACACAAGAGGTGACCTTGGGTCATTTTTCTAGAATGGGATGGCAGTGCCCGGCAAGCTAAACAGAGCAAGGGAAAGATACATGCGTGAGTATTTTTAGGCTCTGACAGTGAGTGGGAAACAACGGCCAGGATGCCGAGACCCACAGAGGAACATCAAATCAGAGACCAGGGCGAGGGGGTGGGAGCCAGGAAGGGCTTCCCCACGTCCCTGTGAAGATGAACGAGCCGCCACCTTAGCCGCCACCTCCCAGCCCCCAGGCCCTCTGCCCCCAGGGGCAACGCTAGCCCCTCCCCATGGTGTAGCCTGGATCATGCTGTTGCAGTAGGCTGGTGCGTTGCACTCTGGGCAGAAGAGGATCATGTGGTACTTGGGGCCGAAATAGCCCAGGCTGATGGCCAAGAGGTTGAGCACATGACCAAGAGGTCTAGGAAGGTGACCAGCACCCCCTTGTAGACAGACATGAAGGTGCCCAGGGTGACAGCTGAAGTAGGTCATGCAGAAGGTGAACTTGGCCTCGTTGTAGCTCCTTGTCCATGTAGGCAAAGCTGAAGCCCGTGATAGAGAGAAGCAGGTCCAGGCTGGTGTTGACCAGCAGCTGCTTGCGGTAGTTGAGGTTGCAGGAGAGGATCATGATCTTGGGGTCCTTAGGGTCAGTGCACGTGCTAATTCTGGGGGTCCTAGTCAGCATGTTGCCTACCAAAATGACCATCTTGAGTTTCATGATGGACCCCACAAAGACATAGGGCCCATGCAAGCGGACCCGGTCACTGTAGGCACGGGGGAGGCGACCGGCCACCTTGAAGATGCAGATGATCTGGAAGGAGCGCAGGAGATGCAGAGGGTGAAGCAGAGGGAGGACAGTGCCTGGCGGCAGAGGCAAGTGGTGGGCGGCCCCACGTACAAGGAGACCATTGTGTCGCCACCACCAGCAGCACCTGCATCAGGAAGCATGTGGGGCCGCCAGCCGAGTGAACCATGGAAGTGCCTCCAGAAGATGGCCAGGATGGCCAGGGTGCTGAGGAAGCCCAGGGCGGCCAGCGCCCCCACGATGATGGTGGGCGTCTCGTGCCATTGGAGGGAGACCAGCTGCCGCGTGAAGCAGGAGGGCTCATTCCAGGCGGGACCACTCGTAGCTTGGGCAGGACTGGCAGCTGAATTCATCTGCAAGAGCGCACAGCTACTTCTGTCTGCCAAAGGTGCCTTCCCTGCACCCACATCCTCCAGGCTGCCCTGGGCCAGTCCCCAGAGTGGAAGGGGTGCTAAGGGCCACCCCTGAGTCGCAGCCCACACCCCTGAGTCCTTCCACCCCACTTCACGGACGAGGAAACGGAGGCTCCGCTGGGTAAAGCCACACAATCAATGAGAGACAGGATTGGAGCCAAGGCCCCCTGACTCAGAACCTAATGGGTACAATTCCTCCCTTCCAAGAGCGCGCCTGCCCTGGCCAGAGAATTCCACTACGGACTCGAAGTCCTCGCCAAGGTTTATTTTGAGCTCCTTCCACAATGATTAGCCCTGAGTTGGGACGCCGAGAGACGGACCGAACCCAGTCCCTGCCTTCAGGCTACTGACCCGCTGGGAGAGGAAACCCGGTGAAATCATCCCCCAAGCATTTGGTGAGCACCCGCTCTGGGCTCTGGGCTCCGCTGGGCACGTAGTAAGTAATCTGCTTGGTAGAGGGACACCCGCTTCATTCACTTGCCGGTGTCATCATGGAAAAACACCTGAGCCCTAACTCCGAACGGTGCTGGACACGGGTGTGGACGGAGACGCCACTGTCCTCCTGCCCCGGAGTGGGAAGGCGGCATCTGGCCAGCTCAGCCCCAGCCGCTGCCCTCGGCCAAGGCCACTCCTCTCCTCTGGGTCTCGCCCCCCGGCCTGTAAAATGGATCCTGTGCTTCTGAACATTTCAGGGGTGCGATGCTTTCAAGCACACACCCAACAAAAGCAGCCGTGCGCCCAAACCCAGTCTGCGAGGCTCCTCCTGAGACCTTGGGCCGAGGGGTCCTGGGCTAATGACCCTGGCCTTGATATCATGTAAGGGGGACAAGTGGATGCAGCCAGGGCGCCGGCCACCCTGAGGACAAAGCTCCGGCACCCCAGGGTGCCAGGACACCCCTTCAGGGCTGCACACGGGGCACCTGTCCCCGGCGGCTCATCCAACGCAACTGCCACCCTAGTGCTCCATCCAGGTCCTCGTGTTCACATCTGTGTGACCAGAGGTTGCCAAGGTGACAGAGATCCGTGACAGGCATATGCAAAGTGTGGGTGCAGGAAGCAAGAGCCATGGAAATGGAGGCCCAGGAGGAGCTGCCCATTTGTCTCTGTCCGTGTCCCCTGGGTGCTCACAGCAAAGAGCCTCCCACGCTTGCTTCAGGCCGGGGCCTGCCCTGGACTTTCCACCCCTGCCATGGTGGTTGGGGGGACACTGGAGCACAAGGGAGCCCCTCAGAGGAAGCTCAGCAACTGGGAGTGTCATCGGTTTCCCTCCCCCCACCCCCGTCTCCTCCCTGCCCTGCTTCCTAAAGGAGGAGTTGGGTGGCTAGAAACCTCGTTCCTTCTGACTTCAGGTGGGCAGGAGGGGCAGGCAGGGCATCCCCCAGGAAGGCATGTGAGGTGGGCCTTGCTGCAGGGCCAGACACCTGGAAAGGGTCGCCTTGGGGCAGGTGCTCAGAGGACCCAGACTCATCAGTCACCCTGCTGAGGGATGAGTTAAAAATGGGGTGCCGCATGGCCCCTGGAAGGTGGGGATGGGTTGGCTAAGGCCTAGAGGAGGCACTCTGCTGGGGACATCTTCTTAAGCCCAGAGATCCATTCGAGCCTGCTCCCCAAACTTGGTTGGTTGTGTCTCATCTACAAAAAGATCTGGAGTTTCTAAATGACCACGGCTCAGTGAGAACTAAAAAGGGGATAATCACAACGGCAGAAGGGAGAAGAGCAGCCTTTATGGGGCCGCCCCAGTGCCCTCCCACACCCTTGCCTCACACCCTCCTCACAGTTCTGTGAAGCATTTTTTTTTATCCCTAGAGTGTGGATAAGGAAACCAAGACTCAGAGACTGAAAGACTTGCCCAGAGTTACTGGGATTTGAACCCAGTTTTGTTTTCCTCGAGTTCAGACTCTTTGCACTGAGTTAATATGAACCTTAAATTTAAGGTTATATCAAAAGAGTAGCCTGTCCAGAACAAGGGAGGTGCGAGGGCTGCCATGTGATGTGACGGTCAGATCTCGCCTGGGTGGAGAATTCTAACAGTAATGACTCCCATCGATGGGCCCCTTCCGGGTCAGCAGGCCTGGGACTCAGTTTTCATGTAGTAGCCCATGCAGTCCTCCTAGTAATTATGAAGAATGAGTTCTGTTATTATTATATACCCAATTGCCAGGAGAGCAGACTGAGACTCCAAGGTGCTGTGACTTGGCCTAGTGTCCCAGCTCAGGATGACTCAGTCTGCTCTCCTTGGCACCAGCAGCAGTGGCCACAAAGTGAACAAAGAACCCACAGGGAGATGAAGAAATGGGGCTCTTCAGCGGAGGGAGGGCACTGTGGCACCTGAGGGTTGCGTGGTACCTGCTCCACCACACAGGGCAGAGACTGGCAACCCGGGTGTGGCTGAGTCAAGGCTGGCCGTTGTCTGCAGCCATAGCGCCACCATGCCCTGCCACCCACCTAGTACCCCCTGGGTACGTGGAGAGGCCGGGGTCTGGTGAGGCCGGCAGGTGTTCACTGAGCCGGTCTCTTCACCTCTCTGAGTCTGCTTTCTCATCTGCAAAATGGAGCCAAGACACCAGCTCCCGTGCAGGCCGGCTGGTCCGAGGAAGTTAGCAGCGCCACCTGGCCGTTAGCCGGTGCTGGGTGAAGCCGGCTTGGCCTCCTTCCTGGGCACGGACTCCCGACAAGGTGTGGAGGGCAGGACTGAGAAGAGCCAGTCCCGGTTCTCTGGGCGTCTCTGAGCAGATATGGGACCTGGCACTTTGCTGGCCGTTGGGCCCAGCCTCCTGAGAAACGACCTGCCTATGGTGTGGAGGCCAAGCACAGGGAGGGGGAGGAGGGGCTTGTCCCTGCCCAATGCCAGGGCCCGGAGGCGCCAGGAGGTCACAAGCAAAGCCTGGTGGGCAGAACTGGGGCCTGGACACCCGGGCGGTGACCTCCTACCAGTGTGCTGGCTGCTTCCCCTCGTGCCCCAGCCTCCTCATCTGTGCAACGGGTTGCCCAGCCATGAGGCATTGAGCACGCGCCTGGCACACCCCTACTGGCCTCCAGACAGCAGGCAGGAGCTGTGATGAATGGGGGTGCATGGGGAGTTCATGAACAGGAGACGCGGCTCTGAAGTTGGGGGGTGAGGGATCTGCACCCTGCTACTTCCTCTGGGGCTGGCCAGGAGGCCAGGAGTGGCACAGATGACCCCTCCTTTCCCTCGCACACACACCCGACCCGCAGTGGGGGGCAGGGACATCAGCCTCAGATGGCCCGTCCTCTGAGCTGGACCTGCGCTGGGCCCGGCCACAGCAGGGAAAGGAAGAGGCTCCCTGGGGGGCCGTGGACACAGGACTCACCGTGGTGGGACAGGGAGAATGGAGTTAATCGGGCTTTTTCACCCACCACTAGCCTCTACGGCTGTCACCTGAGGCCTTGCTTTCCTCCCTGGCTTCATTGCCCACACATGCGAAAAGCACTTGGGAGGGCGAGCATGGGGCACACACGGACACCCAGGGCTGAGGTGTGAGCACGGGGCATGTGAGCCTGTGATTACAGACGCCCAGGCCAAGAAGCCAACGGGCCCGGGGCATGCGTACCTGTAAGTAAGGACGACCGGGCAGGAGACCACTACAGAGACTGAGCGCGAGGAGAGCGAAGAGATCATGGAGGGCTGGGAGGCTCGGTCGCTGCCAGCCTCCCTGTCCGCTGGTCTGCCTGTACCCGGTCCCCTGCTTGAGCTAAAAGCCTGTCAAATGCACCAAGGGCTCCAAGATCCTTTATCTGTTTGCTGGAATCAACCATGAGCCTGGCCCACCCTGTGCCAGGGTTACCCCAAAAGGTGGCCATGCAAAGAGGCCTTAGGTCCCAAGTGGGCCCTGGACCCTGAGGACCCACAGTCCTCAGCCTGGGCACAAGGAGGGCAGAGGGAACAGAGTGGGCAGTGGCTTGAACCACCCCCCCACCACCGCCACCACATGCTGTTACAGTGGGAGGGGAAGCAGAAGGAAAAGCCCCAGGATGCCAGTGACCTGCTGGAGCAGGTATTGAGGGGCACAGCCCGGGTGCTCAAACTTTGGCCTACCAGCCACCTGCTGACCTCTATTAGTCCTTCCACAGGAGGCAGAGCATCGTCAGCTGGTGAGGTCACTAGCAAGGCGATGAAGCCGGCGGGTCAAAGTTTTCACCAGTCACCTGCCAGCTCTAACTCGGTGACCTGGGGTGTCACTCCATTTGCTGACAGTCCCCAACCTGACTATAAAGTGCAGACGCCACCCCTCTGGTCTGTCCTCTGTCCCTGAGTCAAGCCCCCTCTTGCACCCGTGAGTGGTAGCCCCTGGGTGAGCCAGGGTGGGGGTTAGGCCAGGGGGTGGCGTCTCCAAGCCCTTCCCTATCCCAGCCCCCAGCCCCATGGAGGGCCCCTGGGCCAGGACAGTGGCAATGGGCCGAGGAGCATCACCTCTGGTGGAGCCGCCCGCAAGGAACACTTCCCGCTCAGCCCGTGTGGGCCGACCCACATTCCGGACTCGGGCTAATTGGCTACAGCTGCTCCCCTGCCCCTCGGTGCTGGGCAGGCTTCTGCAAGTTCAGCACTGTGGTGGTTCTGGGGGTGGGGGGAGAACAGGTCTCAGGAGTTAGACAGACCTGGATTCACGCCCTGGCAAGGCGTGGATTCATACCATGCCCTTGGCAAGTCCCCTCACCTCTCTGCACCCATTTCTTCATCTGCAGAATGGTGGCCCCACAGCACCTACTTTATAAGACTGCTAGGAGTGGCAGAAACTGTGGTGACCTTAGCACATGTACCAGACAGGGTTCTTGGGAAACAGAAGCAACAGGACTTATAGAGGCAGGTTTTCTGGGAGGAATCGTCCCACCCGATGGTGAGGTTTGGTCAGCCCAGAATCTGCTGAGAGGTTGGCAGGCAGGACCTGTGAATAGGGGCAGCTGTGTGCAAAGGGGCAGCT